CTAAGAGGGAGTATTGGCGCCGGTTCTGTGGAAACATAGGCAGGACCACTCCTGTGGGAGAGGTATGGTGGATGATTAAGAGGATGAGTGGGGTCAGAAGAGATTAGGATCTCCCTGTGCTGAAAAGTGGGGAGATTGTTGCAGTGAGAGATATGGAGAAGGCAGCGATGTTAGCCCAGGCATTTGTGAAGGTGCACAGCTCAAATCATCTGACAGAAGAGGGGCAGCGTGGGAGAGAGAGGGTCAGAGGAGAACATCCTGGGGTCCTGGATCAGAGAGAGATGGTGGGGGATACATTGACTGGCCCTTTTATGTTGGCTGAGATGAAGAGGGCATTAGCTAAAGCTGGGGTAACATCTCCTGGTAAGGATGAGATGTGTTACATCATGATGGCTCATCTCAGTGACACTGCAGTGGGGAAGGTATTGGGCCTTTACAATAAGGTGTGGCAGGAAGCGAAACTGCCTGGTAGTTGGAAGCAGGCGGTAGTGGTGCCAATACGGAAAGACCCTACTAGTCCTTCAAGCTATAGGCCGATAGCGTTGACATCTCACGTATGTAAACTTATGGAAAGGATGATAACGGAAAGACTGACTACTTTCTGGAGAGTAGAGGACTAATGTCACCAGATCAATGTGGGTTCAGGAAAGGCAGGGGAACGATGAATCCTGTACTGTGCCTTGAGTCAGTCATACAGAAGGCACAGGCAAATAAGGAGGTGGTGGTATACTTTTTTTTTGATGTAGCGAAGGCTTATGCTATGATGTGGAAGGAAGGCCTACAGTTGAAGTCGCCAAATAAAAAATAGCCAAATACATTTAAACTCAGTTTTTCACAATTCTTTACATTTAATCCTGGTAAAAATCCCCTGTCTTAGGTCAGTTAGGAGGATCACCACTTTATTTTAAGAATGTGAAATGTCAGAATAATAGTAGAGAAATGATTTATTTCAGCTTTTATTTCTTTCATCACAATCCCAGTGGGTCAGAAGTTTACATACACTCAATTAGTATTTGGTAGCAATGCCTTTAAATTGTTTAACTTGGGTCAAACGTTTTGGGTAGCCTTCCACAAGCTTCCCACAAGAAGTAGGGTGAATTTTGGCCCATTCCTCCTGACAAAGCTGGTGTAACTGAGTCAGGTTTGTAGGCCTCCTTGCTCGCACACGCTTTTTCAGTTCTGCCCACAAAATGTATATAGGATTGAGGTCAGGGCTTTGTGATGGCCACTCCAATACCTTGACTTTGTTGTCCTTAAGCCATTTTGCCACAACTTTGGAAGTATGCTTGGGGTCATTGTCCATTTGGAAGACCCATTTGCGACCAAGCTTTAACTTCCTGACTGATGTCTTGAGATGTTGCTTCAATAAATCCACATAATTTTCCTTCCTCATGATGCCATCTATTTTGTGAAGTGCAGCAGTCCCTCCTGCAGCAAAGCACCCCCACAGCATGATGCTGCCACCCCCGTGCTTCACGGTTGGGATGGTGTTCTTCGGCTTGCAAGAAACCCCCTTTTTCCTCCAAACATAACGATGGTCATTATGGCCAAACAGTTCTATTTTTGTTTCATCAGACCAGAGGACATTTCTCCAAAAAGTACGATCTTTGTCCACATGTGCAGTTGCAAACCATAGACTGGCTTTTTTATGGCGGTTTTGGAGCAGTGACTTCTTCCTTGCTGAGAGGCCTTTCAGGTTATGTCGATATAGGACTTGTTTTACTGTGGATATAGATCCTTTTGTACCTGTTTCCTCCAGCATCTTCACAAGGTCCTTTGCTGTTGTTCTGGGATTGATTTGCACATTTCGCACCAAAGTACGTTCATCTCTAGGAGACAGAACGCGTCTCCTTCCTGAGCGGTATGACGGCTGCGTGGTCCCATGGTGTTTACACTTGCATTCTATTGTTTGTACAGATGAACATGGTACCTTCAGGAGTTTGGAAATTGCTCCCAAGGATGAACCAGACTTGTGGAGGTCTACAATTTATTTTCTGAGGTCTTGGCTGATTTCTTTTGATTTGACCATGATGTCAAGCAAAGAGGCACTGAGTTTGGAGGTAGACCTTGAAATACATCTCCAGGTACACCTCCAATTGAGTCAAATTATGTCAATTAGCCTATCAGAAGCTTCTAAAGCCATGACATCATTTTCTGGAATTTTCCAAGCTGTTTAAAGGCACAGTAAACTTAGTGTATGTAAACTTCTGACTCACTGCAATTGTGACACAGTGAGTTATAAGTCTCCCGAGTGGCGCAGTGGTCTAAGGCACTGCATCGCAGTGCTAGCTGTGTCACTAGAGATCCTGGTTCGTATCCAGGCTCTGTCGTAGCCGGCCGCGACTGGGAGACCCATGGGGTGGCGCACAATTGGCCCAGCGTCGTCCAGGGTATGGGAGGAAATGGCCGGCAGGGATGTAGCTCAGCTCGTTTGCAACGCCAGGGTTGTGGGTTCGATTCCCACGGGGGGGCAGTATGATTATTATTATTTTTTTTTATAATGTATGCACTCACTACCTGTAAGTCGCTCTGGATAAGAGCGTCTGCTAAATGACTAAAATGTAAATGTAAATAAGTGAAATAGTCTGTCTGTAAACAATTGTTGGTAAATTACTTGTGTCATGCACAAAGTAGATGTCCTAACCGACTTGCCAAAACTATAGTTTGTTAACAAGAAATTTGTGGAGTGGTTGAAAAACAAGTTTTAATGACTCCAACCTAAGTGTATGTTAACTTCCGACTTCAACTGTACTTATCAAGCTGGATAACATGGGGGTTGGAGGAAGTGTTTTTAACTGGATAAAGGATTTTCGTTTTTCGTTTTGGGCGATCAATACAAGTGAGGGTGGGGAGCTCTATGTCAGAAAGCTATGAGGTAGCTAATGGTACCCCCCAGGGAAGTGTCATTAGTCCTTTGTTGTTCTCTATTATGATTGACGATGTATTCCAGGGTTCTTCAATTCCGGTCATGGAGGGCCGAAACACCTCTGTTTTTCATCCTCTCCTTCTAATCAGGGGTTATTCAGACCTGGGACACCAGGTGAGTGCAATTAACTACCAGGTAGAAATAAAAAACAGAAGTGTTTCGGCCCTCCAGGACCGGAATTGAAGAACCCTGACGTATTCTCTCAGGTGAGACCTAATATTGGGAGGTCATTGTTTGCGGATGATGGAGAGCTGTAGAAGAGAGGGAGAAATATTACCCATAAAGCCAGAAGCGTTCAAGAAGCGATTAGTGAAGTAGAGCAGTGGTCCCTCAGGTGGGGCTTCAAGTTTTCAGTTGAGAAAACACAGACTGTGTTTTTTTCTAGAAGGAAGGTTGGGGAGGAAATATATTTGAAGTTGTATGGAAGGACTCTGGAGAGGGTGGGAGGGTTTAGGTTCCTGGGGGTCTGGTTTGACACTCGAATGACATGGGCGGAGCATATTAACAGAGTAGTTGTCAAAGAAAAGAAAATATTGAATGTGATGCATTACTTTTCAGGAATGGAGTGGGGGGCAGATAGAATGGAGTTGAAAATGATATATATAGCGCTGTTAAGGTAATCAATGGATTATGGAAGTATAGCATATGGATCAGCAGCTCAGACATCTTTAAAAAAGCTAGATGTTATCCAGGCCCAAGCCCTAAGAATATGTTGTGGAGCACTCAGGACCTCCCCGGTGGCAGCGATGCAGGTAGAGTTGGGAGAGATGCTGTTAAAGTTAAGAAGAACAGCTAGCCATGACATATTGGGTAAATCTACAAGAACATAACGTAACACATCTTGCAAAAAAGGTGCTCCTAGAGTGCTGGGAACATGAACGAAATCTGAATATAAGCTTTGGATGGATATGCAATTGCATGGCAAGAGAGATGGGGTTGTTTCGGAGGGAGTTTAGCCCCTCTGTGGTTCTTCCTGCTATCCCACCTTGGTTTCTCCCTCAGCCAATGATAGATCTAGGGTTGCTTGAGAGGGTAAGAGATGTTGAGGAATGAGTAGATTCAGTTGTAAGTGAACATTTAAGAAAACAATACTATGCTTTCTTGAATATATTAATAATAATAATAATAATATGCCATTTAGCAGACGCTTTTATCCAAAGCGACTTATAGTCATATTCAAAGCTTTTAGTGTTCCTGAGTTTAAGGTGGCAGTGACGAAAAGAGCAACAGATAATTTATCTGTTTACACAATGGAGTTGTTGGCCATACTATTGGCTGCAGAGTGGGTGGAGGAGGTGTGGCCAGACAGGGTAGTCATCTGCTCTGACTCCTGTGCAGCACTGATGAGCTCATGTGTGTCTCAGAGCAGACATGATGTATTGTATGAGGTTTTGCAGTGCTTGTATAGGGTGAAACAGATGGGGGTATTTGTTATGTTCCTCTGGGTACCAGCTCATGTGGGAGTAGAGGGGAATGAGGAAGTGGATATTATCGCCAAGCAGGCTCTTAAACATCCTAATGTTGAGATGGAATTAAACATTTTAGTCATTTAGCAGACGCTCTTATCCAGAGCGATTTACAGGAGCAATTAGGGTTAAGTGCCTTGCTTAAGGGCACATCGACAGATTTTTCACCTAGTCGGCTCGGGGATTAGAACCAGCGACCGTTACTGGCACAACGCTCTTACCCACTAAGCTACCTTACTGTCAATCAGTAAAGCAGAAGCCCAGGGGTTAATAAGAACAGTGGTTAAAAATATGTGGCAGGAGTTGTGGAACAGGGAGAGTAAGGGAAGACACCTGTATAAGATCCAGGAAAAGGTTGGGGGCAGGGAGGTCCTCAGGCCGAGAGAGAAGGGAGGAAAGTGTAGTCACAAGGCTGAGACTGGGTTGAAGAGCCAGGATTAAGTGAACTGCTGGGGAAATCTTCAGGGGATGTAGTATTTCATTATGTATTTCGTTTCCTTAGGGAGACGAGATTATTGGGTAGGATTTAGACCTTCACTGTCTCTGGTCCACACTCCAGTCTAGTTTGTGGCGGTAATGCGCCTTAAAGTTGGTTGCCAACCGCCATATAAAATCCACAGAAGAAGAAGAATCATCATCATCATCATCCACAACAACGAAGATGTCGGATCAATACGCCACTGTCCAGAGTGGCTCCCTGAAATTGAAAGGGATTGGAGTTGTTTCCGCAGGTAAAAAGTATGTATTTCATGTTATTATTACTTATAAGTCAATGTGCTCTAAAAGTTGTCCACACCTATGTATCTCTTTCACCTGGGACGTGAAAGAGTAGCTAGCTCTCTGTCCCTATAAACCAGCTAAGTTAGCTAACCAGCTAAAGTTAGCTTAGCTACAAGCACACATGGTAACAACAGCAACATCATCGGTTGTTCACTGTAAATTGTTACATACGTAGCTAGTGTCAGCCTACTCAAATTCATGTAGCTTTAAGTGCAAGTAAACAGACATCTACTATTTGCTTCAAACCTTTAGCTGTCGTAACTATGTAACGTTAGCTAACTAGTTAGCTACCTTGCTAGCTTCTCATCAACACCCTTTCATATACTGGCATTATTTTACTATTTTAGAAAGAAGAAGAAGGACAAGGAGAAGAAGCAACGTTTGGAGCAGCAAATTAATACAAATCGAAACGAAGAGGAGGAGACCAAGAGTGGATACATTGACAAAAGAACACCAGCTCAAATCGCATTTGACAAGATGCAAGAGAAGAGGGTAATCCTCATTGTCCTAAATGTATTGTCCAATTGATGTTAAAGCACTGACATAGAGACAATGTAGGTCATGTGATGAAATAATTAATTCCAGTTTACAATACCATTATTCACCCCCACCTTTTCAATTTCTTTCAGCAAATGGAGAGGATTTTGAACAAAGCAGAAAAAACTCACAAGCGGAGAGTTGAGGTAAGACCTTTATTATTTGATGCATTTACTGTAATTCAGAAAGTACGCTTGGAGAAATTTGAGTTCTACAAACCCCTGGCATACTATAAACAACAGTATTTTTGTTGTATTTCAGGATTTCAACCGTCACCTGGACAGCCTGACAGAACATTACGATATTCCTAAAGTCAGCTGGACCAAATGAAGAGGACTCCAGGATCACTTTTATTTTAGAATATGCTTTAGAAGTTCCCTTTATGGCGGTTGTGATCCATGATCTGAGCGCACTCTGACACTCCAGAGTGAATTTACGAACACACCCTTTGTGTGAATACATTTTGGTTCCATATGCTGAATTATACTAGATTACACAGGAATGCTGTTGTAATCATGTGTATTTTATTAAAGTTAGTTACTTTTCCTTGTCTCTTGAAATTCACTCATTTATACACCTTAATATTGATTACGTTAGTATTGGATGTGTGCAGTTAATTTCTGTAAAGATTGTACAAAGAGATTTAAATTGAAACGCATCAGATAGATGGCATTTTCCACAGGCCCAACTGCAGAGCCTTCTATTTGTAAAGTAGAGGCATAGAGATCCTATTAAATTATTATTATTCCTAATTCTATGAGTAGATGGCTGAGCTCTGGGCCCATGGCCACAAATCGTAGGAGTAGACGTGCTGATCTAATGAATACGATTATATTGACAGATCCTTGATCAGCACTCCTATTCTGAAACGCTTTGTGTATATGGCCCCTGGTCTCTTATACCACCACATGCATAAGTAAGTACAGTGTAGTCTCTACATATATTAATTTGTAATAGAAAACAATATGGACCAAATTATATCTAAATATGTACGAATGAGACATTTGTGTTGGGAAAAGGCGGTGACAGCTTCCCGGAAGTGGAGCATATAACGTTTTGTGTCTTCTGGTTTGTGAAGTGACGTGTGCACAAAACCCGGTCTATGGTAGCGAAGAACACTTAGCACTCCTAGTTGGATGCTACCGTACCGCTACATACTTTTATATTGTAATATTTAGATATTATAAATATATTTCTCACCGTTACCAACTCGTAGTAAGTTACGGCAAGCTAGAAGCAAAATGTCAGCAAGTGCGGTTTACGTGTTAGACCTCAAAGGCAAGGTAAGAGGACAGGACATATCTGGGTTAGCTAACGTTAGCTAGCAATCTAAATAAAATATGTTTCACATAAAAAAATGTCGCTACTAATGCATCGCACAATTTGATGAAGAAATTACAAGATAAAGCTAGCTACTTTACGTTCTAAGAAAAATATAGAGTATTGAATTTGAGAGCTTGATGTTGACACGGGAAAGTAGTGATGGGAAACCGAGGCTTTCTGAAGCCTTAGGGGCTTTCACCAAATTGTGCCGAAAAAAGGTTCATTACTCGGAGTTTTGAACACAATTGACATTAGTGATGATCGTCGGTGCCAGGCGCGCCGGTTCGAGTATGAAAAAAAAAAGTATTAAAATGTATGCACTCACTACTGTAAATCGCTCTGGATGAGAGCGTCTGCTAAATGTCTAAAATGTAAATTATATCTGTTGGTCAGCAATGAAAAGTAGCGTGTGATGTTTTATATATACGTTTTTTCCACACTATTCATCAAATTTCAATGGCGCAGCGGTTAGTCGCTAGTCTTCGTAGTAGGCAGTGACCATTGCATTGCAGATTAGCAATTTATATCATGCTTCCCTTTTTTTGCTGTCAGAAACGGAATCTATGGCATTATGTAAGATCCTTAAGACAGAAGCTTATACTTTACTCACTAAAACTAAATGTTTAAAGCTGCAATATGTTGGTTTTTGGAAGACCAACCAAATTCGCATAGAAAAGTCTTATAGATCTGTCATTCTCATTGAAAGCAAGTAAGACGAGGTAGATCTGTTCTATGTGTGCTATTTCTATGCTCCCCAGTCTTAAGTTTCGTTTATGCTTTTTTTTTAACTTTCGGTTTTGTACCCCAGCTTCAAACAGCTGAAAATACAATATTTTTGATTATGGAAAATATATTTCACAGCGGTTTAGATGGTAAAATATATGGAAAATGTATGCACTCACTAACTGTAAGTCGCTCTGGATAAGAGCGTCTGCTAAATGACTAAAATGTACAATGATTCTCTACACTATACTTGCCTGTTTTGTCACAAAAACTAAAATTAGGTGACCTATTAGAATTTTTACAACCAGGAAGTAGCGGAGCAATTTCTGCATTGGGCATTTTTAAGTAACAATGTGCAGAAACTGTGGTGTCACATAAAACGATTCAAAAAATAATATGCCTTCGCCCCCATTCCCTGTCATCTGAGTGTTCTGGTCCCCGAGACCCTGTGACTCTACCTGCTGAGCTATCGTTCAGCTGACGCTACATGAAAAAATCCTAACTATATACAGTACCAGTCAAAACTTTGAACACACCTACTCATTCCAGGGTTTTTCTTTATTTTTACTATTTTCTACATTGTAGAATAATAGTGAAGACATCAAAACGATGAAATAACACATGGAATCATGTAGTAACCCAAAAAGTGTTAAACAAAAATATATTTTATATTTGAGATTCTTCAAATAGCAACCCCTTTGCCTTAAGACAGCTTTGCACACTCTTGGCATTCTCTCAACCAGCTTCATGAGGTGGTCACCTGGAATGCATTTCAATTAACAGGTGTGCCTTGTTAAAAGTTAATTTGTGGAATTTATTTCCTTCTTAATGCGTTTGAGCCAATCAGTTGTGTTGTGACAAGGTAGGGTTGGTATACAGATGCTAGCCCTAATTGGTAAAAGAACAAGTTCATATTATGGCAAGAACAGCTCAAATAAGCAAAGAGAAACGACAGTCCATCATTACGTTAAGACATGAAGGTCAGTCAATACGGAAAATGTCAAGAACTTTGAAGGTTTCTTCAAGTGCAGTCACAAAAACCACTGGCTCCCATGAGGACCACCACAGGAATGGAAGACCCAGAGTTACCTCTGCTGCAGAGGATAAGTTCATTAGAGTTACCAGCCTCAGAAATTCCAGCCAAAATAAATGCTTCAGACGTCAGGTAACAGACACATCTCAACACCAAGTGTTCAGAGGAGACTGCGTGATTCAGGCCTTCAAGGTCAAATTGCTGCAAAGAAACCACTACTAAAGGACACCAATAATAAGAAGAGACTTGCTTGGGCCAAGAAACACGAGCAATGGACATTAGACTGGTGGAAATCTGTCCTTTGGTCTAATGAGTCCAAATTTGAGATTTTTGGTTCCAAGTTTCTTGGCCCAACTGGTAGAGCACGGCGCTTGTAACGCCAAGGTAGTGGGTTCGATCCCCGGGACCACCCATACACAAAAATGTATGCACGCATGACTGTAAGTCGCTTTGGATAAAAGCGTCTGCTAAATGGCATATTATTATTATTATATTATTAAGTAGGTGAACGGATGATCTCTGCATGTGTGGTTCCCACTGTGAAGCATGGAGGAGGAGGTGCGATGATGTGGGGGTGCTTTGCTGGTGACACTGTCAGTGATTTATTTAGAATTCAAGGCACACTTAACCAGCATGGCTACCACAGTATTCTGCAGCAATACGCCATCCCATCTGGTTTGCGCTTAGTGGGACTATCATTTGTTTTTCAACAGGACAATGACCCAACACACTTCCAGGCTGTGTAAGGGCTATTTTACCAAGAAGGAGAGTGATGGAGTGCTGCATCAGATGACCTGGCCTCCACAATCCCCCGACCTCAACCCAATTGAGATGGTTTGGGATGAGTTGGACCGCAGAGTGAAGGAAAAGCAGCCAACAAGTTCTCAGCATATGTGGGAACTCCTTCAAGACTGTTGGAAAAGCATTCCAGGTGAAGCTGGTTGAGAGAATGCCAAGAGTGTGCAAAGCTGTCATGAAGGCAAAGGGTGGCTATTTGAAGAATTTCAAATCTCGAATATATTTTGATTTGTTTAACACTTTGTTGGTTACTACATGATTCCATATGTGTTATTTCATAGTTTTGATGTCTTCACTATTAGTATACAATGTAGAAAATAGTATAAATAAAGAAAAACCCTTGAATTATTAGGTGTGTCCAAACCTTTGACTGGTACTGTACATAGTAAGTATGGTGTCCAGTAGAGATCCGTGTTTGAAAGCAGCTTGGATCAGTGGGATCTCGCCGTTTGGAACACACGTTTGAAAAACCACGTAATCAACGAAGCTTCGGACGTCATTGATCACGTGATAATGTTCATTTTCAAACGAGCATCGGTACATTGTGTCGGATCAGTAGTGCTTTGAAAACTGCAGGAAAGTAACGTTACTTAGCTAGCTAGCTACCCCACCAGCTGGACTGGTTTTGGATGGACTGGTTCAATGGATCACGTGATGCATTAAGGACAAATTCTACATGATGATGATTATGATAATGGTGGTGGTCTTATGAACAGTAGGCTGTATTACAACATTTACATTTTAGTCATTTTAGCAGACGCTCTTATCCAGAGCGACTTACAGTTAGCGCATACATTATTTTATCGAACCCACAACCCTGGCGTTGCAAACGCCATGCTCTACCAACTGAGCTACATCCCTGCCGTCCATTCCCTCCCCTACCCTGGACGACGCTGGGCCAAATGTGCGCCGCCCCATGGGTCTCCCGGTCGCGGCCGGCTACAAGCCTGACGAGAGCCATTACTTTCCATGGTTGTCATCATGATCACCAACAGTTTCCCCCATCCAAAGGCCTGTTTGAGGATGCGAACATACACTCAGTGGCCAGTTTATTAGGTACACACATCTAGTACCGGGTCGGACCCCCCTTTGCCTCCAGAACAGCCGGAATTCTTCGGGACATGGAAACGTTGCTCAATTGGTATCACGGCACCTAACTTGTGCCAGAAAAACATTCCCCAAACCATTACACCACCGTGATCAGCATGTACCGTTGAGACCGCCAGGATGAGGCCATGGACTCATGCTGCTTACGCCAAATCCTGACTCTGCCATCAGCATGACGCAACAGGAACTGGAATTCGTTGGGCCACTCCTCAATTGTCCAATGTTTGTGATCGCGTGCACACTGGAGTCGCTTTTTCTTGTTTTTGCTGATAGGAGTGGAACCCGGTATGGTCCTCTGCTGCAATAGCCCATCCGTGACAAGGACCGGCGAGTTGTGCCTTCCGAGATGCCGTTCTGCACACTACTGTTGTACTGCGCCTGTTTGTGGGCCGCCTGTTAGCTTGCAAGCGTCTTGCCATTCTCCTTCAACCTCTCGTCAATTAGCTGTTTTCACCCACAGGACTGCTGATGACTGGATGTTTTTTGATTGTTGCACCATTCTCAGTAAACTATAGACACTGTTGCGCGTGAAAAGATACTGGAACTGGCGCGCCTGGCACCGACGATCATACCACGCTCAGTCACTTAGGTCACTCGCTTTGCCCATTCTAACGTTCAATCGAACAGTAACTGAATGCCTCGATGCCTGCTTTTTATAGCAAGCCACGGCCACGTGACTCACTGTACATAGGAGCTAACTATTTGAACAGGGTAGTGTGCCTAATAAACTGGCCACTGAGTGTATGTTAAGGCTCAAATGCATAGTCCAGTTATGATGAGCCATGTAGATTTTTGTGTTCCATATCAAGGACACTTGAAGATATGAATACATTGCCAGTGATGCCAGTTCAGGATGTCGTCAGGAGACACAGGCCATGTAGATGTCCTAACATGGAGGATAGAGAAGGGGAGAGTAAGTTCCTGTTGATTTGTTTCACCTTTTCAGGTTCTGGTCTGCCGTAACTACAGAGGAGATGTGGACATGTCAGAGATTGAGCACTTTATGCCCATCCTCATGGACAGAGAGGAAGAGGGCAATTTATCCCCTATCCTGGCCCACGGAGGGGTCCGCTTCATGTGGATCAAACACAACAACCTGTACCGTATCCTTACTGCCACTCACTCAGCCTCTCACAAATGTGTTTACAACTACTGCTTCAGTATTCCTTTGCCTTTCCAATATTAGAGCCCCCAATACGAATGGGGAAATTGTACTTATCTTGCTCTGGGTAAAAGGGAGAGTGATGATTGCTTAGGTCAAATATACTACTACTCCCTGAGAGCTCACACAATGGATAGGATCACTTCCTGCAAATTCCACTTTCAGTTCATTCTCAAACTGACCACTTTTTTCAGGTAGATAGAATTCAGCTCATGTTTGTTTTACTTATCAGCCCCACATCAACTTCACCTTAACATATTTTCAATCAGTTGTAGCAACGTCTAAGAAAAATGCTTGTGTCTCATTGGTCTTCTCTTTCCTCTACAAAATTATTCAGGTGAGTTGCATATTTTGTCTATTTTATGGTCTAAAATGGTGTCCAGTAGAGTGTTGACTATGGAGGGTGATGAAAATCGTAGTCTTATTTGTCCAATTATTACCCATAGGTTATTATTACAGATGATTAACTGGTAAGAAATGTGTTATAGCTAGTCTTTGAATTATATGAAGCACTGCTACCAACTTCATGAGAAAATGCAGCGGGGTAACTTTACTCAAGTCTTTTGTCTCTTCAGGTTTTCTCAGAGTATTTTAAGGAGTTGGAAGAGGAGAGTATCAGAGATAACTTTGTCATAATCTATGAGTTGATGGATGAGCTGATGGACTTTGGCTACCCCCAGACTACTGACAGCAAGATCCTTCAAGAGTGAATATCCTATCCAGCCCTTAATCAGTCTACAAAACTCTGTACAAACCTATGTTTAGCTTCCATTAAACATTTTCAAATTCCTCCAAGTTAAAGATAAGATACGTAGTGATCTACAGTACTGTATGTACCGTATATCTTGAATTTCACCCAAACACCCAGTATGGCTGCAGACAGACAGTCTCTCTCACTGTTGTCCTATCCTCTCAACCTGTCCGTCTCTGTTGGTTTGTAGGTACATCACCCAAGAGGGGCACAAGCTGGACACGGGGGGCCCGCGTCCCCCTGCCACCGTCACCAACGCCGTGTCCTGGAGGTCAGAGGGCATCAAGTACAGGAAGAACGAAGTCTTCCTGGACGTCATCGAGTCTGTTAATCTTCTGGTGAGGCGCCTTGTCACGTCGTGTTCTAACACTCCCCTCTCTCTAATACAGTCGTGGCTTGCAATGTTTATTTTTGTTTATGACAAAATGATTCAGTGTTTTATTGAGATACTGTCAACCATTTGAACTTAGACACATTTCTGCAATTGTTGTAAAAGGTCTGATACTTCTCCCCCTTTTCTCTCGTATGTGCAGGTCAGTGCGAATGGTAACGTGCTGCGCAGTGAGATCGTGGGCTCCATCAAGATGCGTGTGTTCCTGTCAGGGATGCCTGAGCTGCGTCTGGGGCTCAACGACAAAGTTCTCTTTGAGAACACTGGCCGTGAGTTCCTCTGCACTGTTTGTCACTGTGGATGGGTTACAGTTCAGTTAAAAGACAAATGCATGTAGATTTCAAAGCTGTTTCTGTGTGTATTTTCAGCCCTGACTTTATACACTTAGCCTTTTGCTCACAATTTCCCATAGACATCATTGCATGATTTGCAAGAAAGTTGGAGTTGTGTGCACACATATCCCAAGTCAGGATTCAGCTCTTACCTCTAATCTATTTCAATTACAAACATAGCTTTAATTTTTCTCATAACTGTACTTGTACCAAGTCCAATCCTCTCATGCCCTCTCCAACTCTCCATCTTTCTCTGTTGCTGTGCTCATCACAGGAGGGAAGAGTAAATCAGTGGAGCTGGAGGACACAAAGTTCCACCAGTGTGTGCGTCTGTCCCGCTTTGAGAATGACCGCACCATCTCTTTCATTCCTCCTGACGGAGAGTTTGAGCTCATGTCCTACCGCCTCAACACACACGTATGTACTGTATCAGAGAAAGGCCAGTTTAATTGTATAAGATGGGCTTGTCATTATAGTTCGGTTTTCCGGACAAAGATTAAGTATAGTCTTAGACTAATAATGGCGATTTTCCATTGAAATGCCTTCAAACCTATGTTTAATGGATATTCTCCATGGAAAGGGCTTTAATAAATATTGCTGCGAGCAGCAATGAACAGGATTCACAGGATGACAGAAAGGACACATGATCAGTTGGATAGCAAGCACTCTATCATGTTTATGTGCAATCAGTGAAAGCACTATCTCCCTTCATGTGCAATCTTCCTTTATGTGCAGTCAGTGATAGCATTACCATGTTGATTTAAATCTGTTGGTACACACCACATTAGCGTTCCAAAATACTTCAATACACTCTCACGACTGTAATACGCTGACTGCGCAAGTGGCATGACTTCCGGTTTCTCATTTTACAGAATAAAATATCCACTTTTCACTACGTTCAGACCACATAATAGGACAACAGTGTGATTATACAGATATACTACTCACAATATTTAACATTGTTTGTCTGCATCATTTAAATCTAACATTCATTTGCATGAGACAAAGTCCACTTGATCTACAGTTATTGCTCTAGGATCCTATGGTGCCACTGGTGCCAATGACATCTGTAGTGCCACCAACTGGTCTGGTGCAACCATCTAAGGTTGCAGTGACTTTATATTCACACAGCTTCTTATATTCACACAGACATATACATAAGGTTTACATTCCAAATGTAATTGCCCCATGTTCATCGGTTCAGTTCTAGTAGCCAGGGTTTGCCCATGATTGAATCATCTACAGGGCTTGACATTAACTTTTTTTGGCACTTGTCCTTTGGACAAGTAGGACAGATATTTTTTTGGTACTTGTCTGAAAGCTAGAGTCTGTAACACCATGGGCCAAAAAAGATGACTGAAAATTGTTGTATGATGCAAGGAACCACTGCCAAGAGCTGGGTGATATATAAACTCAGCAAAAAAAGAAACGTCCTCTCACTGTCAACTGTGTTTATTTTCAGCAAACTTAACGTGTAAATATTTGTATGAACATAAGATTCAACAACTGAGACATAAACTGAACAAGTTCCACAGACATGTGACTAACATAAATGGAATAATGTGTCCCTGAACAAAGGGGGGGTCAAAATCAAAAGTAACAGTCAGTATCTGGTATGGCCACCAGCTGCATTAAGTACTGCAGTGCATCTCCTCCTCATGGACTGCACCAGATTTGCCAGTTCTTGCTGTGAGAAGTTACCCCACTCTTCCACCAAGGCACCTGCAAGTTCCCAGACATTTCTGGGGTGAATGGCCCTAGCCCTCACCCTCCGATCCAACAGGTCCCAGACGTGCTCAATGGGATTGAGATCCGGGCTCTTCGCTGGACATGGCAGAACACTGACATTCCTGTCTTGCAGGAAATCACGCACAGAACGAGCAGTATAGCTGGTGGCATTGTCATGCTGGAGGGTCATGTCAGGATGAGCCTGCAGGAAGGGTACCACATGAGGGAGGAGGATGTCTTCCCTGTAACGCACAGCATTGAGATTGCCTGCGATGACAACAAGCTCAGTCCGATGATGCTGTGACACACCGCCCCAGACCATGACGGACCCTCCACCTCCAAATCGATCCCGCTCCAGAGTACAGGCCTCGGTGTAACGCTCATTCCTTCGACGATAAACGCGAATCCGACCATCACCCCGGGTGAGACAAAACCGTGACTTGTCAGTGAAGAGCACTTTTTGCCAGTCCTGTCTGGTCCAGCGACGGTGGATTTGTGCCCATAGGCGACGTTGTTGCCGGTGATGTCTGGTGAGGACCTGCCTTACAACAGGCCTACAAGCCCTCAGTCCAGCCTCTCTCAGCGTATTGCGGACAGTCTGAGCACTGATGGAGGGATTGTGCGTTCCTGGTGTAACTCGGGCAGTTGTTGTTGCCATCCTGTACCTGTCCCGCAGGTGTGATGTTCGGATATACCGATCCTGTGCAGGTGTTGTTACACGTGGTCTGCCACTGCGAGGATGATCAGCTGTCCGTCCTGTCTCCCTGTAGCGCTGTCTTAGGCATCTCACAGTACGGATATTGCAATTTATTGCCCTGGCCACATCTGTAGTCCTCATGCCTCCTTGCAGCACATTCACGCAGATGAGCAGGGACCCTGGGCATCTTTCTTTTGGTGTTTTTCAGAGTCAGTAGAAAGGCCTCTTTAGTGTCCTAAGTTTTCATAACTGTGACCTTAATTGCCTACCGTCTGTAAGCTGTTAGTGTCTTAACGACCGTTCCACAGGTGCATGTTCATTAATTGATTATGGTTCATTGAACAAGCATGGGAAACAGTGTTTAAACCCTTTACAATGAAGATCTGTGAAGTTATTTGGATTTTTACAAATTATCTTTGAAAGACAGGGTCCTGAAAAAGGGACGTTTCTTTTTTTGCTGAGTTTAGTTAGCTTTTAGCGAGTTGAAAAGCACAGCACGTGCGTCAAGTACGGAAAATGCGTGCTAGACATCCGGCTAAAACTAAATGCATATGCATCTAGTGGACAGTAGAAACATCGGGCATGAGTGAGAGAGGGCAACGAAACAGGGACAGGGCAGTTACAGAACATAGGATATGACGTTAATACATGCTGCTAATTTCTAAATAGTTAAATACCAAGATAACTAGCCAGACGAGGGTACACAAAATGTTTTGAATTGGCAATGTAGTTAACATGATTTATTTTATAGGCTAGCTTACCAGCTGATGCAATGTCTCCCCCTCTTCTTGAGCAACCGCTTCCTCAAATTTTCATGACCACACAAATCCTGTTTGCTGACCATAAAATCAGTTATAACTGGGAAAGTAACTCACTAACTAGCATAGAATATTGACAATTGCACGTGTCTACACACGGCTCTAGATTTGGATTCTAACCCGCTGGCTCATGAAGCCCCCATGAGCTCCCGAGTCTAGAAGCAGTCTAGCTAACATGTTAGCTAGATAGCTAAATGCTAATTCTGTTTTACAAGAAAACGGCTGAGATGACTCAAACACTGTAGCTAGCTAGCAAGACCTCCTCTGCGACAATGTTATAGGGGCACGGGAATGTTAGATTAGTCTTTTAATTTTAAGTTAACTGTCATTGAAGTTGGTGGTTACTACTGGTTTCAGATGGTGACAAAAACTGTCCGCCATGTTTGGTGTTTTGGTAAGGGCTCGGCGTAACGTCACTCCCCCAAGCCTCAACCAATCACCCAAATGATATCAATGACTTTGCCTCCGGAAAGGATATTTAGTGACTGGATATACTACAGTGAGGGGAAAAAGTATTTGATCCCCTGCTGATTTTGTACGTTTGCCCACTGACAAAGACATGATCAGTCTATAATTTGAATGGTAGGTTTATTTGAACAGTGAGAGACAGAATAACAACAAAAAATCCAGAAAAACGCATGTCAAAAATGTTCTAAATATATTTGCATTTTAATGAGGGAAATAAGTAAAACATGACTTAGTACTTGGTGGCAAAACCCTTGTTGGCAATCACAGAGGTCAGACGTTTCTTGTAGTTGGCCACCAGGTTTGCACACATCTCAGGGGGGATTTTGTTCCACTCCTCTTTGCAGATCTTCTCCAAGTCATTAAGGTTTTCAGCTCCCTCCACAGATTTTCTATGGGATTAAGGTCTGGAGACTGGCTAGGCCACTCCAGGACCTTAATGTGCTTCTTCTTGAGCCACTCCTTTGTTGCCTTGGCCGTGTGTTTTGGGTCATTGTCATGCTGGAATACCCATCCACGACCCATTTTCAATGCCCTGGCTGAGGGAAGGAGGTTCTCACCCAAGATTTGACGGTACATGGCCCCGTCCATCGTCCCTTTGATGCGGTGAAGTTGTCCTGTCCCCTTAGCAGAAAAACACCCCCAAAGCATAATGTTTCCACCTTCATGTTTGACGGTGGGTATGGTGTTCTTGGGGTCATAGGCAGCATTCTTCCTCCTCCAAACACGGCGAGTTGAGTTGATGCCAAAGAGCTCGATTTTGGTCTCATCTGACTACAACACTTTCACCCAGTTCTCCTCTGAATCATTCAGTTGTTCATTGGCAAACTTCAGACGGCCCTGTATATGTGCTTTCTTGAGCAGGGGGATCTTGCGGGCGCTGCAGGATTTCAGTCCTTCACGGCGTAGTGTGTTACCAATTGTTTTCTTGGTGACTATGGTCCCAGCTGCCTTGAGATCATTGACAAGATCCTCCCGTGTAGTTCTGGGCTGATTCCTCACCGTTCTCATGATCATTGCAACTCCACGAGGTGAGATCTTGCATGGAGCCCCAGGCCGAGGGAGATTGACAGTTCTTTTGTGTTTCTTCCATTTGCGAATAATCGCAGCAACTCTTCGCACCAAGGTGCTTGGCAATGGTCTTGTAGCCCATTCCAGCCTTGTGTAGGTCTACAATCTTGTCCCTGACATCCTTGGAGAGCTCTTTGGTCTTGGCCATGGTGGAGAGTTTGGAATCTGATTGATTGATTGCTTCTGTGGACAGGTGTCTTTTATACAGGTAACGAGCTGAGATTAGGAGCACACTCTTAAAGGGAGTGCTCCTAATCTCAGCTTGTTACCTGTATAAAAGACACCTGGGAGCCAGAAATCTTTCTGATTGAGAGGGGGTCAAATACTTATTTCCCTCATTAAAATGCAAATCAATTTATAACATTTTTGACATGCGTTTTTCTGGATTTTTTTGTTATTCTGTCTCACTGTTCAAATAAACCTACCATTAAAAGTATAGACTGATCATTTCTTTGTCAGTGGGCAAACGTACAAAATCAGCAGTGGATCAAATACTTTTTTCCCTCACTGTATAACCATACATCACAGAGCAATGAGCCAGATATTTCACTGGATATATAAATGTGAAGCATCCTGGTTGGCGTTTCCACTCAATACCAAATATGGTGATGAGAGGAAGCCCAGTGGCCGGCAGTTGGAGAAGCGAAATGGATTTTGGCAAACATTCTGCAAATTCTTTTCATTGATTTAAACATTTCATCTCCATAGAGTATTCTGTTTCCAAAACTAGAATCTGTAACAAACAGTGGACTGCGTTTTGTAGACTTTACCCTTTGCCAAAGTTTCACAATTTTTCATTGTTTATGAGTGCAAGGGCGAATTGAGTTATTGCACACTTCACAGAGTAGGCATTCCCTAATGGAAATATGCAAATAAATGCTAGAACGTGCCAATAGGATCTCACTAGCTCGTGTTGGCTCTGCCCACCTCCTTGCTTGTTCTTGGCTCTGCCCACTATAATTAATTTGCTCCCGTTGGAAACAACAGGCTTTGGTCTATCTTGGGTTAGTTATAAAAATCTCCCAACAATGTATGTCAAGATAAAAAACTAACAAAAAAAAGGTTCCTTATTATTTAAGATATCAATGCCAAACCTAACATGGTTCATCATGGTAATGTATTCGATAAAGTTAAGTTGATAGGCCATTGTGAAGTGGATTTACCAAGGATTTAAATGGACACGTAAAATCTGATTTCCTGATTTAACAATAACTCAGCCATCTCTTAACCAATCCCGTAGCTCTTCTCAAACTAAGTTAAGCGATGTACCATGGGCATGCATACCAGTGTTATTTGGATGGAAGAAAATCTATCCTGATGGACCTTATGGGCCCTTGAGGCAAAATTGTTTCAGCATAAGAAAAGACACCTACATACAAAGTTTCAAGTCTCTAGGTCAATGAGGATAGTGGATATGAGGGTTTAAGTGAGATTGCTTATAACGGCGCCACCTATAGGCCAATCGGTGCCATTCTTTTTGACCAAGTTACTCATGGCCTCTAGTTTCTGTGTGCCAAATTAGATTTTTTTCATGCTTGAGTTATTTGACCATCTAAGAATAACCCCTCATAATAACTTTATTTTTATAGTGCTTTTCAATACAAGTAACAGTGCTTCACATCATAAAATACAAGTATTAACAAAGACTAGAGGAAGGAGAATGAAAAAAGATAGCTAATTAAACTCATACATTGAAATCATACATTAAAAGCATCTTTATAAAAGTGTGTCTTCAGCAGGGATTTTAAGCTAGTTTTTTGGTCAACCCAACCAAATTCACATAGAAATGTGAGTTAGATCTTTCATTCCCGAGTGGCGCAGTGGTCTAAGGCACTGCATCTCAGTGTTTGAGGCGTCACTACAGACCCCCTGGTTCGATTCCAGGCTGTATCACAACCGGCCGTGATTGGGAGTCCCATAGGGCGGCGCACAATTGGCCCAGCGTTGTCCGGGTTTGGCCGGTGTAGGCCGTCATTGTAAATAAGAATTTGTTCTTAACTGACTTGCCTAGTTAAATAAAGGTAAAATAAAAAATTTAGTCCCGTTGAAAGCAAGTCTACAAAGCGGTAGGTATTTTCTATGTGTGCTATTTCTATGCTTCCCATTCTGAAGTTTTGGTTTTGCATCTTTTACTTTTGGGTTTGTACACCAACTTCAAACGCAACATGTAAAGTGTTGGTCCCATGTTTCATGATCTGATTGATATAAAAGATCCCAGAAATGTTCCATACGCAAAAAAAATATTTCTCAAATTGTGCACCATTTTTTTTATATACCTGTTAGTGAGCATTTCTCCTTTGCCAAGATAATCCATCCACCTGACAGGTGTGGCATATCAAGAAGCTGGTTAAACAGCATGATCATTGCACAGGTGCACCTTGGGCTGGGGACAATAAAAGGCCACTCTATAATGTGCGGTTTTGTCACGCAACACAATGCCACAGATGTCTCAAGTTTTGAGAGAACGTGCAATTGGCATGCTGACTGCAGGAATGTCCACCAGAGCTGTTGCCAGAGAATTGAATGTTCATTTCTCTACCATAAGCCGCCTCCAACGTTGTTTTAGAGAATTTGGCAGTACGTCCAACCGGCCTCACAACCACAGACCATGTGTATGGCATCGTGTGGGTGAGCGGTTTGCCGACGTCAACGTTATGAATAGAGTGCCCCATGGTGGCGATGGGGTTATGGTATGGGCAGGCATAAGCTACGGACAACAAATACAATTGCATTTTATTGATGGCAATTTGAATGCACAAAACTACAGTGACGAGAAACTGAGGCCCATTTTTTTTTTTTTACAGATGCATATCTGTTTTCCCAGTCATGTAAAATCCATAGATTAGGGCCTAATGAATTTATTTCAATTGACTGATTTCCACATATGAACTGTAACTCAGTAAAATCAATTAAATTGTTGCATGTTGCGTTTATTTTTGTTTACTATACAATATTTTTAGTTATGGAAAATGTATTTCACAGTGGTTTAGATGGTACAATGATTCTCTACACAATGACTGCTTGTTTTTTCACAAACTAAAATTAGGCGTACTATTATAATTTTAGCAACCAGGAAATGGCGGCGTAATTTCGGCATATTGCACCTTTAAAGAGTCTCTGAATCTGCAAGCCCATGTTGTTTATGGATATTCTCCATTCAAAGGGCTTCAAACCCCTGTTTAATGGAGATTATCCATTGAAATGTCTTCTCAGTCCAAGACTAAGCTTTATATCTGTCCGGGAAACCGCCCTTTTGGGATGCGCATGCCATTAGAAGTGTTCAAGTAAAAGTTGAAATCCTTACTTGGTGAAACTGCCACATCCATTTTGCGATTATTACAACAACAAAGAAGTTACTTCGAACAACGAATACAGTTTTCTTCCCTCGGACATCATTGCATATCATCGCATGCGCGATAGAACAGCAGAGTATGTACTTTTTTTTTGCTACGATGCTGGATGCTCCTCTCATCCGTTTCATCAACTAAAACAATAATAAATGCGCTGGTGTAAACAGTGGCACTGTTTCATCTTATGTAGATTGCAGCTTTACGGTATTAGTAAAATTTTTTATGCATATGAGATTGTGACATCATGACATGCATGTATGAGAAAGACGTGTCAAAGCAGAAATTACACTTTTGTTGTATTGATGAGGAGTTGTTTTTTTAAGCCTTTGAAATGTGTTGTCCCCAGGTGAAGCCCCTGATCTGGATAGAGTCTGTGATAGAGAAACACTCCCACAGCAGGATCGAGTACATGATCAAGGTAAACACCAGCCCTGTAACGTTACCCAGCAGCTAAGATAACAGTATGCTTTGGTATCAAATCAATAGTTAACCACGAAGCTATCATAAACACTATAAGCATGATCTTCTGAAATACAATATATTGATCTCTCACTCACTCACTCACTCACTCACTCAGGCTAAAAGTCAGTTCAAGAGGCGGTCCACGGCCAACAACGTGGAGATCCACATTCCAGTTCCCACAGACGCCGACTCGCCCAAGTTCAAGACCACGGTGGGCAGTGTCAAGTGGATCCCAGAGAACAGCGAGGTCGTCTGGTCCATTAAGTCATTCCCGGTGAGTACAACAACACACTGGACTGCATGCTACAGTAAACCATAGTTCTCAAAGTGGGGTTCTTTAAGTGATTGAACATCATAACCAGAAATAAAGATCTCAAGTGTCACTTCAACTAACCTGGATCATTTTATGTAAAAAGAAACAACACCACAATCCTAACTCTTGCTCTGTTTCATCTTGTCCCAGGGGGGTAAGGAGTATCTGATGAGAGCCCACTTCGGTCTGCCCAGTGTGGAAGCAGAGGACAAGGAGGGGAAGCCCCCCATCAGTGTCAAGTTTGAGATCCCCTACTTCACTACTTCTGGCATCCAGGTAAGATGCCGTCCTCACTGCAGTACCTATTCTATCCACCAGGTGTCTCTTGTTGCTTTTAGTAGTGGGACACTGGAAATCATTCTAACACATGATGGAGCTATTATAACACATATGAGGTCTGGCTGTTCAAGCTGAGACCTGAGGTTTGCCTGGTTTGGTGAGCCTGGTTTGCTGTTCGGGGACTGGTGCTATTTGTATATGGCATTTTGACGACAGACTGTATGACAGGCACACTGTCAGTCAACACAGGTAGAACAACATCCCTTCATCATAGCGTTTGCCTGGTGGGTCTCTGTCAAAGATGTGGGTCTCTCTGTTACAAAGCTACACTGGAGAGCTTAGGAGTTGATAAGTTGCACTCTTTCTGGGAAACAGCATCAGGCAATTGCCAATTTTTTAAAATAATAAACGATGCACACACTCACTGCTTTTAGGACTCTAAATTGCCTTGTTTTGACCATAATACTGTGACATAATGGTCAAAAGCTTGTAGATGGGATGGTTAAGCGAAGAACAATTAGGAGCACAGTACAGTGTGCAGGTCCTTGTTGTTCTGGGTCAATGTCATTCTCTGTGGGTCCCCTGATATATTCAATCAACCTCCATATCTGCCACCAGGGAAACGACATCATAGCCCAGAGAATCAAAGGAATGCCTTTTCATTGGCTCAGAGGGAGTTCTCTCACCTCATGTCTTTGTATGCCCTCAGAACAGCCTAAATTCGTCAGGGCATGGACTCTAAAAGGTGTCAAGCATTTCACAAGGATGTTGGCCAATGTTGACTCCAATGCTTCCCACAGTTGTTGTGACATATTTCAGGGGAAGAAAAACATCACCAAATTCACTGGGAATACTTGACATAGGATGAAGAAGCAATACTCTGAGCCGCACCTCTATACTACTTGTCAGACATAGATAACTGATACTATATACTCGTTGCTGGGGTGTGGTGGGTCAGTGGGTTGCTTTTGACCATTTCTTTGGATTCCTCATGTCTAACTCATTGTTAGAAAAAGGTTTAGTCAAAATCTGATGTTAGGGTCTATATTTATTGAATATGATATGAATCCGATAAATTAAAATGGCCAATTTGGGTGCAATCAATTAGCTTAATTTCTCAGTTCCAATTCTATTTCAACAAAATAATGTTGCAGTTATGCTAATCTTATGTTTCTAGCAACAGAAACAATTTCAGAACAATCTGAGATGGTGGGTGTCAAACCTATTGTGCTTTTTGAGGTGGAATGACCCATATCGATGTTCTGCAATACATTCAATAACAGCATCCCACACAGAATTGAGGCAGAGGTTTAAATTACACTTTGCTTGAATTTCTCTGGAAATCAGGAAGTTTTGGCACTAATGGGAAATGAGGGATTGTGTAATGAAATCAAGCGACAGAGATATTGACAGTGTTTTCCTGTTATGTTCTATCAGAGAACGGTCACTGAAAGGTTTCATCATCACTCCAAGATGCTCTCGTTAACATAGCCACATGTAGGTCTACTTAACCCCAGTAATGGCACCTTGAGGAAAGAGTTGCTTGTAAATCGCAGCTCCTCAACACACTCAACCAGAGATCAATGGAGCCATCATCAGAGAGATGCCACTATTAGCTGCTGGAAGATACTATTTAGGGAGTTTGATTGAGCTACTGTATTTTGTGGCTCTGGCTGACCCCAAGGCCGCTTCGCTGGTGTTCCAGGTCCTCTTGAATTGTGCAGTGCCTCTGTGGTAGCTCCAACGGAGCCCACCGCACCGCACGCCACCAAGGATCTCTGCTAGCATGGAGGGAACATTTAGGCAGCCTGAACTTATTACAGAGAGTATGCCATTTACTACTCACTACTGTGTCTGTGTGTCTGTGTGTCTGTGTGTGTGTGTGTGTGTGTGTGTGTGTGTGTGTGTGTCTGGCAGGGTTTCCGTTAGCCAGTAATAACCGACAAAAAAAAAAAAAACATCCAAGAAAAGCCGATAAATAAAAATGGCTTCGGCCAATTGTCCAGGAGAAGAAAACATGCATTTTAGCCTACTCATTGATTGAAATACCTGTCAATGTAGCGCGAGAGCTGCTGCTACAGCTCCATCAAACAGCTTGTTAGTTGCTGCTGGTGTGAAAGATGCTTTTATAAGCCCAATCATTGCTCAACAATTGTAAATGCAATCGTGTGTTCAAAAACAGTTTTGATGGCCACGATTAAAAAATAGCAACTCTTTTTATTTCTCAACTGCTAATTGAAGCACCATTTAAGTGCAACTAGGCAGGCTTCAGCACATCAAACACCACTTTGCAATGAGCTGGAGGCAGTATGCATTTTGAAAACCTATAGGCCTACTTCATTGTTTGAAACATGAACGTTTTACTACATATTTTAGGTATTTTATTAGGATCCCCATTAGCTGTTGCAAAAGCAGCAGGCTGAATCTTCCTGGGGTCCACACAAACATGAAACATGACATAATACAGAACATTAATAGACAAGAACAGCTCAAGACAGAACTACAAGCATTTTTTAAAAAGGCACACGTAGCCTACATATCAATACATACACACAAACTATCTAGGTCAAATAGGGGAGAGGCGTTGTGCCGTGAGGTGTTGCTTTATCTGTTTTTTGAAACCAGGTTTGCTGTTTATTTGAGCAATATGAGATGGAACGGAGTTCCATACAATAATGGATCTATATAATTCTGTACTTTCTTTAATTTGTTCTGTATTTGGGGACTGTGAAAAGACCCCTGGTGGCATGTCTGGTGGTGTAAGTGTGTGTGTCAGAGCTGACTATGCAAACAATTTGGGATTTTCTTATAAAAAGAAGAAGTAATGCAGTTTCTCCTCAACTCTTATCCAAGAGAGACTGGCATGCATAGTATTTATATCAGCCCTATGATTACAATGAAGAGCAAGACGTGCCGCTCTGTTTTGGGCCAGCTGCAGCTTAACTAGGTCTTTCCTTGCAGCACTGGACCACACGACTGGACAATGATCAAGATTAGACAAAACTAGAGCCTGCAGAACTTGCTTTTTGGAGTGTGGTGTCAAAAAAGCAGAGCATCTCTTTATTACGGACAGACCTCTCCCCATCTTTACATCCATTGAATCTATATGTTTTGACCATGATAGTTTACAATCTAAGGTAACGCCAAGTAATTTAGTCTCCTCAACTTGGTCAACAGCCACACCATTCATTACCAGATTCAGCTGAGGTCTAGAACTTAGGGAATGATTTGTACCAAATACAATGCTTTTCGATTTAGAGATGTTCAGGACCAGTTTATTAGTGGCCACCCATTCCAAAACAGACTGCAACTCTTTGTTAAGGGTTTCAGTGACTTCATTAGCTGTGGTTGCTGATGCGTATATGGTTGAATCATCAGCATACATGGACACACATGCTTTGTTTAATGCCAGTGGCAGGTCATTGGTAAACATAGAAAAGAGTAGAGGGCCTAGAGAGCTGCCCTGTGGTACACCACACTTGACATGTTTGACATTAGAGAAGCTTCCATTAAAGAAAACCCTTTTGAGTTCTATTAGATAGATAGCTCTGAATCCACGATATGGCAGAGGTTGAAAAGCCATAACACAAGTTTTTTCAACAACAGGTTATGGTCAATAATATCAAAGGCTGCACTGAAATCTAACAGTACAGCTCCCACAATCTTCTTATCAATTTATTTCAACCAATCATCAGTCATTTGTGTCAGTGCAGTACATGTTGAGTGCCCTTCCCTATAAGCAATGCTTTTCTTTCATAATTGTTTTTTTTTAATGCATGAATGCGATGGCTCACTGTTCATTGTTGGCATTTCCTGCCTAAGTTTGCCCACTTTGCCAATGAAGTAATCATTAAAATAATTGGCAACATCATATGAGGCATGTCTTACCTTGCTTCAAAGTAGCCTAGCCAAAATCCAACCAAACGTGCAAGTAATTATTTTATAAAGACTTCCATATGCCATTGAAACCAGTAGCCTATTCTCTCATGTCCTATTGGTTTTCAAATGTCTTTCATTGTCCAGTAGCCAAAGGCACAATCCTAGTCATATTAGCATCCCATGCTAGTTGTTGCATCTTTATCTGCCCTCTTTCTACATTTCTACATATTTTCATCTGTCTCATGAAACCGCTCACATGTGTGGTGCGCTTTTGACAACAAGTGCATTATGGAATGAACATTCGCGAGTACCTACTGCCTTGTGTGCATTGCTGTGCTTATAATGAGAATAAATAATATACTGAACAAAAATATAAACGCAACATGTGAAGTGTTGGTCCCATGTTTCATGAGCTGAAATAAAAGATCCCCAAAAATGTCCATACGCACAAAAAGCTTATCTCTCAAATTTTGTGTACATATTTGTTTACATCCCAGTTAGTGAGGATTTCTCCTTTGCCAAGATAATCAATCCACCTGTCAGGTGTGGCATATCAATAAGCTGATTAAACAGCATGATCATTATACAGGTGCACCTTGTGCTGGGGACAATAAAAGGCTGCTCTAAAATGTGCAGTTTTGTCACATAACACAATGCCACAGATGTCTCAAGTTTTGAGGGAGCGTGCAATTGGCATGTCCACCAGAGTTGTTGCCAGAGAGTTGAATGTTAATTTCTCTACCATAAGCTGCCTCCAACGTCATTTCAGAGAATTTGGCAGTATGTCCAACCAGCCTCCCAACCGCAGACCACGTGTAACCACGCCAGCCCAGGACCTCGACATCCGGCTTCTTCACTTGCGGAATTGTCTGAGACCAGCCACTCGGGACAGCTGATGAAATACTGTAATAAAGCCCTTTTGTAGGGAAAAACGTATTCTGATTGGCTGGGCCTGGCTCCCCAGTGGGTGGGCCTTAGCCCACCCATGGCTGCGCCCCTGCCCAATCATGTGAAATCTATAGATTAGGGTCAAATTAATTTATTTCAATTGACTGATTTCCTTACATAAAGTTTAAGTCAGTAAAATTGTTGCATGTTGCGTTTTTTAAAATTTTTGTTCAGTATAGTTTATCAACATTTTAAGCTAAATGTTCTGATCTGTTGTATGAGCCTCATTGCTTTTTAATGTTTTTTCGATGTAGCCTAGGCCTGCTGGTTGTATGAATTTGTGATATATCATCCGACAACTCCCAGAGTCTGTTTTGGAATACGCTATTTATTTCTCACACAGAACGACAAGCTGAGCAATAGAATAGGTGAACTTTTCTACTGTGGAGGATAGTAGATTGACATAGGCTTGTGATTTTGCTGTTCAATACTCTTGTTGTTGACTGTGGAAAAGTAAATGTGGACCGTTATTCTAACATTTCAAATTGGCATCGGAATTCGGTAAGAAGGACGCACACCGTTGCATCCTCGAGAATTAGGCCTACCCTTATCTACATGTGATTTCAGTCATTCTGAGCACCGTGGATGGACGCCCTAATCAGTTTACGCATCCAATGCATATGGGTCCGGTAAATTTCTTAAATGTCTGCGAAATTAAAATGCTGCCGGTCAAATGTCCGGCACCACATTTTCCTAACGGAAACCCTGGTGTGTGGGCGTATGTATGCGTGCCTCTGCGTGTGTGTGCGACTGTGCGTGCTCACTCTCTCCACGCTCCCTTGTCTCTCGGACACGACACACGGCACCAGAAAAAAAAAAAGAGGAGCCACGTCATCAGCTCCTTAATTAGACAGTGTGGTATATCAGAGCGTATCAAAGTGGTGTTTAACCCCACCGCCAGCCTTGCCAGACGTACAGGCAGATGCGCATCAAGCACCCCAGCCATATCCCATCTGAGGTAGAAAAGGGAAGTTTACCACCAGAGTGGTTGGACTGCTGTAGAGGTGGGGGCTGCAGTTTTTCTTTATAGCCTGCTGATGGTAGGGGGGGGAAACCACATCAGGGCTCATCTGTCCCCCTCCAGGGGATAATTATAGCCAGGTTCCCCCTCCCCTCAGACACAGTGGTGTGACCCACCAGCCCCTCAGAGATGTACTCCATATAGGCCTAGTCAACCACCAGAATAGAACGCACGGCTAACTGCCAGTACTCATGTACTATAACATTTACACGAAATATATCATAGTCCATATCATGTTTGTACTGTGTATGAAAATAAAAACGTTATTTGGCACAGACATCATCACAGATATCCTGAAAAGTAGATATTACGGTGTGGTACCAACTTCACGTACCCAAGAAAGCGATCGATGGATGTGCCTTAGCTGTATGTTTTGTATGCAGATGATGATTTGATCTTAATTTGATGTAAAAGTTGTTCCTGTTATAAATAGCAATGATCGGACATCTATCAGTAGGTAGTAGAGCTGTCATGTAGGCCTAGTTGTTTCAAAGAAGAACTTCAAAAACAAGTTATTTATTGGACCATGGTTGACAGATTCAGTGCCTTTCAGCTTGAGCATTAATTGAAGCTCTTTCCTCATGCTGGTCAAATCAAAGAGCTGTTGAAATGGTAAATGATCTAACAGATAGCCTGGAGAAACCGCTTATAAATAACTACTGTCTCTGTTTTCACATTCTGAACCATCTCAGAGAAATCCTTGAAGACTGAGGACACATTCATCCCCAAGCTAAATATGCTATATTTCAAGTGGGTGTCCTTGAAATATGGCATATTTAGCTTGGTCCAAATGTGTCTGAAACTTTGGACTGAATGTGTGAAAAATGTTGCCAAATCGTGCCTGCTTTGGTCTTACTGTAGTTTATAACAACAAACATCTAAATTTGTAAGGCACCAGACAACTTAGACATAGAGTATAGTAGGCTACACCTCGATTTAGCTGCTTTTTATTACAGAATCACATCAGCCAACCTTGTTACTGTCTGTGACTAACTGGTAGTGTAGGAATAAGAAGCTACCAATTTCACCACAGGCCGTGTAGAGTTGTAGACAGGTCAACTAATGTTGGAGACTTCCGAAGGAGAATAAGGCTTTGTCCTTGTTTCACCCGGTGGGTACTATTCCTGTATCTCTGGCTATTTCTCACTATGACTCTTGTTAACTAAAACTTTAGAAACTATGAAATATTAGTTAAGTTCAACTTTGAATAGGCTCAGTTAGCGTATCACATTTAGGCAAGATGAGACTAAAGGTTAGCGTGATTCTTGTTGAGAAAAGTATGAATGTATCAATATAGGCCAGAGGTTTTGGAAATGTTCTACAAATACGTCATTCATAATCTTTATTGCTGTGTAGGTCTATGTATGAGGTGGTAGCACAATTGAGGTTAGTTAGGGACACTGTCAAAGTGATAACCACCAGGCCTTTCTGATTCGGCCTTGTAGGCTTGCTTTAACCTGCTAGCGCTCCTGTTCTGCCAATGACAACCACTGGACCTGACTGATGTTAGCTTTGACATGCCAGCACTGAGATCCTCCTGTTCTCACAATGAGAAGAGCCTCCACTGTCTAGACTGCAGACGCACACACGGAGGCACTCACACACACACACCGCTCTGAGACAGTTCAGATAGTCCTCCCACATGCATATAGACCTATTCATTTCGCATTGTATATCGGTCGTGTGATCTGCCTCGAACACCCTTTTAGATCTTAAATTACACATGGAATTGGCGTTGTGCGCAAATGGGAGGAGATTTACAGCTCACAGTCCAAATACAGCACTAGTCTGACATGGATAATGTCAAGTCAGCAGACAGATTTACCTCGGTGGAGTAAATTATGTGTTTGTATCCTACTAGGTTACCTTTGCACCAGTATGTGGGATTACAGCCTTTTCATAGAGGAATGCAGCAGCTCCCTCTCTAGCTGTTCTGGTATTTTGGGGTATTTTATTAGGATCCCCGTTAGCTGTTGCAAAAGCAGCAGCTACTCTTCCTGGGGTCCACACAAAACATGACGTAATACCGAACATTAATAGTCAAGAACAGCTCAAGGACAGAACTACATCAATTGTTTCTTTGTTGCCTGTTATGAGACAAATGAACCTTGTGTGTCTTGGAGGCAGGTTGCATCCTAGTACTAGCAGTGTTCACACCTTTCTGAGAGGAAGATAAAATATTTGTTTTGGGCGGCCGACTGCACGCCTGTTGCATCTTCATCAGGACCCCCAGACAGATCAGACCTAGATGTGCTCGTTGAGGAGCCTATAAGGGCCGGTGATGTCCTGTAAGTAGCTTGGGTTTCTTCGTTACGGCCCAGTTATGATTGATGGTACCCTTGGTGTAAAGTGTTTCACTCCCTAATGCAAAAACTATTATCTTCCCCATATGGTGTTGATAAAAAGCTCAGAATTTATGTGAAGACAGCTGGGCTGCGGTGTGGTGTGCTGAGGCCATTTACACATTGTCAAATCTGCCTGTCAGTGTAATTCTCTGGGCCATTATTGCAAGTGTTTTATCTTGGGGAAGATTTAAGACCTAATCCCCCCCACTCTCTTTCTGATAGAATCTCTGAATGCCTCAAGGTGCTCCTCGTTTCAATGAGAGCCCGGCCATGAAACAATGGGGAACTGTTTTATGATGGGGGAATATGAAGCTCAATTCAATGATAAGACCACCACGAAGATAAGCATATTAAAGGGATACTTCTGGTTTTTGACAATAAAGCCCTTTATCTACTTCCCCAGAGTCCGATGAACTCATGGATGGCATTTGTATGTCTTTGCATCCAGTATGAAGGAAGTTGGAGGTAGTTTTGCGAGACAATGCCAACTAGCTTTAGCGCAATGACTGAAAATCTATGGTATCTTCCTTCAAACTGCACGCAGAGACATAAAAATGGTGTCCACAAGGTCATCTGACTCTGGGGAAGTGGATAAAAGTCTTAATTGGAACAGTTAGCCCACTCCACCCCGCCCCCATGGTATGGCTCGATTTGGTAAATTCTTTATGTAATATTATGCAATATTTGTGCCCTTGGTAGATCTTATTCAATAGGTTGTAGTTTGACAAGAAGGGCAAGTGAAGAATTGATGAAAGTTCACATAGGATTGGGAAGTGCCAGTTCCCCACTTTGTATTAATAATGAAAAGTTTCTTAACCACTTCTTCATACCAGCTTGTTTCTCGAATGTGAGAAAAGTTCTCATCTGTAGACATTGACTTGTGTTGCAGCCAGGGCGTATTTGACCTTTATGGTTGTTGCCTGAAACGTGGCATTGTTAAAGTTAGTATTTAAGTGAATATAAAAATAAAATCACCCTGGTAAAAACAATGCAGTATCATATACAGTACACCCGATTTTGTTATATTCATTATAGTGTACTTTACATTGAAAACAGATTCTGCAAACAGGCTCATAATGTGAGTTCGACCCCCCCCTCCTCACTTGAATCACTGTTTGCTCTCAGTGTGATGAAAGACATTGTTTTGTGATAACGTTTGCTCACTCTTGTTTTTAGGTGCGCTACCTGAAGATCATTGAGAAGAGTGGCTACCAGGCTCTGCCATGGGTTCGATACATCACACAGAACGGGGGTAAGGCTGAATAATAATAATAATAATAATAATAATAATAATAATAATAATAATAGGCATAAACACTCTCAAAGCCTCCGAAAGAAGACTTAACCACAGCCCACTACTGTAATAATGATCTCTCATTATCATACCACCCACTAAACATCTGCATATAAAACACTGTCATCTACCATCAATCCTATGTGTTGGATTGTGCATGTGTCTGAACAGCCATGTGGCTCTGCTCCTGTCCTCCGTGGCGCCATTGGATCTCCTGCTTCATGGTGGACCCTCCTGAATATTGCTTCAGGGAACTTTTTTCCCTGCCATGGAATCCATCTAGGAGACAGACTGCTAGCAAGTGGTCTGTAACTCCAGTGGATTTGATTATTTTCTCTCTCCTCTTCTACTGTACATCTTGTTGTGAGGCTCTACAGTACAGTCGTGGTCAAAAGTTTTGAGTGACACATACTAATTTTCACAAAGTCTGCTGCCTCAGTTTTGATGATGGCAATTTGCATATACTCCAGAATGTCATGAAGATTGATCAGATGAATTGCAATTAATTGCAAAGTCCCTATTTGCCATGAAAATTAACTTAATCCCAAAAAAACATTTCCACTGCATTTCAGCCCTGCCACAAAAGGACCAGCTGCCATCATGTCAGTGATTCTCTCGTTAACACAGGTGAGAGTGTTGACGAGGACAAGGCTGGAGATCACTATGTCATGCTGATTGAGTTAGAATAACAGACTGGAAGCTTTAAAAGGAGGGTGGTGCTTGAAATCATTGTTCTTCCTCTGTTAACCATGGTTACCTGCAAGGAAACACGTGCCGTCATCATTGCTTTGCACAAAAAGGGCTTCATAGGCAAGGATATTGCTGCTAGTAAGATTCCACCTAAATCAACCATTTATCGGATCATCAAGAACTTCAAGGAGAGAGGTTCAATTGTTGTGAAGAAGGCGTCAGGGCACCCAAGAAAGTCCAGCAAGCGCCAGGACCGTCTCCTAAAGTTGATTCAGCTGCGGGATCGGGGCACCACCAGGGAAGAGCTTGCTCAGGAATGGCAGCAGGCAGGTGTGAGTGCATCTGCATGCACAGAGAGGCGAATACTTTTGGAGGATGGCCTGGTGTCAAGAAGGGCAGTAAAGAAGCCACTTCTTTCCAGGAAAAACATCAGGGACAGACTGATATTCTGCAAAAGGTACAGGGATTGGACTGCTGAGGACTGGGGTAAAGTCATTTTCTCTGAATCCCCTTTCCGATTGTTTGGGGGCATCCGGAAAACACCTTGTCCGGAGAAGACAAGGTGAGCACTACCATCAGTCCTGTGTCATGCCAACAGTAAAGCATCCTGAGGCCATTCATGTGTGGGGTTGCTTCTCAGCCAAGGGAGTGGGCTCACTCACAATTTTGCCTAAGAACACAGCCATGAATAAAGAATGGTACCAACACATCCTCCGAGAGCAACTTCTCCCAACCATACAAGAACAGTTTGGTGACGACCAATGCCTTTTCCAGCATGATGGAGCAAGTGATAACTAAGTGGCTCGGGGAACAAAACATCATACCTTAATCCCATTTGAGAACTTGTGGTCGATCCTCAAGAGGCGGGTGGACAAACAAAAACCCACAAATTCTGACAAACTCCAAGCATTGATAATGCAAGAATGGGCTGCCATCAGTCAGGATGTGGCCCAGAAGTTAATTGACAGCATGCCAGGGCGGATTGCAGAGGTCTTGAAAAAGAAGGGTCAACACTGCAAATATTGACTCTTTGCATAAACTTAATGTAATTGTCAATAAAAGCCTTTGACACTTCTGGAATGCTTGTAATTATACTTCAGTATACCATAGTAACATCTGACAAAAATATCTCATAACACTGAAGCAGCGAACTTTGTGAAGACCAATACTCGTGTCAACTTTTGACCACGACTGTACAGTCTGCAGTCCGTCTCTCCAGGCCTCTCTTCCTAATAAGGTTATCTGTGCAGATGGTCTGAGACAGGGCCACTCCCCTCCCACCTCAGATTGGCAGGAAGGAAGCAGCCAGGCAATAGCATTGTTCTTGGCGGCTGCTGGCCAGCTGTCACACTGTACTACACCCCAACGAATGGCTGTCTTAAGTTATAAAGCAAAGCAGACCCAGCCAATATTAATTATCTCCAATATCAACCAGAGGAAGGCATTCGTCTCCGCTCGACTGTAACGTTTGTTTTGATACTTTGTCAATCGGGGGGTTACATTTTTTGGTCAGGGCGGTCTTTTGTGTCTGCTCTGTTCAAGGTCAGACTACAGGTCCTGGGTCTGTTGTTGTCTGCGAGCGTGACTTGAAGATACAGTTGAAGACTAGCCTAGCTCAAATCCAGTCTATCTGTAGCCTATTTGGAATCGCTGACTCGCTGATGGAATTCATGTAAATGTTTTTACTACAATAAAAGTAGATTAAACTGACAAACTATATCTCCAGTAGGGTTGGGCGGTAGCCAGATTTTCTTACCTTCCAGGGTATGACATTCAGGTAAATTTGTCAGAGGCACGCCGGGCCAGTACCAAGTGAACTACTGGCCCAAATGAGAAAATTACTGGCCCGGGCAAAGATCACAGGAAAGCAAGTTATGAACGCAGAATTTCAATAGTGGGTGATTTCATGTTTCATTTGCAGTCTGGACAAGTACCTTTTCTTATATTATAGCTAACCATAAAATCTGATATTTACACTGATTGTTTGGGAAAAATAAATTAAACCATCCCCCCTCTCAAGGATGACATATAGCCTTAACATATGAAACCGTTTAAAATATAATATTCTCCTCCTGAAATGAGCCCAATAACATATTGATGAAAAGCAATATCTTTAGGGCATGTACAAGATCCATATTATCAGGCAGGTGTGCTATTATAGCAATAAGCATTATCACCTGTAGTCTGATGGATGCAGCATGGTGGCTATTTTTTATTTTATTTTTTTATTTCACCTTTATTTAACCAGGTAAACCAGTTGAGAACAAGTTCTCATTTACAACTGCGACCTGGCCAAGATAAAGCAAAGCAGTGCGATTAAAAACAACAACACAGAGTTACATCTGCATTACTAGCTGTTTGGGGTTTTAGGCTGGGTTTCTGTACAGCACTTCAAGATATTAGCTGATGTAAGAAGGGCTATATAAAATAAAATTGATTGATTGATTGATACATATGGGGTAAAACAAAACAAAGTCAAAAATACAACAGAAATACATATATATATACAGTGTGTGCAAATGTAGCAAGTTATGGAGGTAAGGCAATAAATAGGCTATAGTGCAAAATAATTACAATTAGTATTAACACTGGAATGATAGATGTGCAAGAGATGATGTGCAAATAGAGATACTGGGGTACAAATGAGCAAAATAAATAACAATATAGGGATGAGGTAGTTGGGCAGGCTAATTTCAGATGGGCTGTGTACAGGTGCAGTGATCGGTAAGGTGCTCTGACAACTGATGCTTAAAGTTAGTGAGGGAGATGAGTGTCTCCAGCTTCAGAGATTTTTGCAATTTGTTCCAGTCATTGGCAGCAGAGAACTGGAAGGAATGGCGGCCAAAGGAGGTGTTGGCTTTGGGGATGACCAGTGAGATATACCTGCTGGAGCGCAGACTACGGGTGGGTGTTGCTATGGTGACCAATGAGCTAAGATAAGGCGGGGATTTGCCTAGCAGTGATTTATAGATGGGCTGGAGCCAGTGGGTTTGGCGACAAATATGTAGTGAGGACCAGCCAACAAGAGCGTACAGGTCACAGTGGTGGGTAGTATATGGGGCTTTGGAGACAAAACGGATGGCACTGTGATAGACTACATCCAATTTGCTGAGTAGAGTGTTGGAGGCTATTTTGTAAATGACATCGCCGAAGTCAAGGATCGGTAGGATAGTCAGTTTTACGAGGGCATGTTTGGCAGCATGAGTGAAGGAGGCTTTGTTGCGAAATAGGAAACCGATTCTAGATTTAACTTTGGATTGGAGATTCTTAATGTGAGTCTGGAAGGAGAGTTTACAGTCTAACCAGACACCTAGATATTTGTAGTTGTCCACATACTCTAGGCTACATGGCTGAAGCCATGGGGTTGCTCTTCTGCATTGTTTACCACAATGGGCTAATCATTAGCTAGACCACAGACTCGAAATATCATCTTGTTGCTTGTTTTAATGTCCCAACAAAAAAAAAATCCCACTGTCGCTAATAAAATCATGTGATTTTGAGTGTTTTTTTAACAAATACTGTGTAATTGTGTGCATTTTACAGTGAATATAGGCATACCGTTTATGCATTAAATTGGCCGACGCGCTTCCCTGGGTTACTTTTTTTATTGTCATGCAAGACACCTCGATTGTAAAAATGGAGTTACAGCACTGAAAAGCTGTGATCACGCTCTTGTTTGAATAATTGCAATCAAAACTGTTGTCTTTTCCTGAGATTGCATTTAGAAATGTTGTGCAGTGACTGGGCTTATTAGAACATACAGTGGGGAAAACAAGTATTTAGTCAGCCACCAATTGTGCAAGTTCTCCCACTTAAAAAGATGAGAGAGGCCTGTAATTTTCATCATAGGTACACGTCAACTATGACAGACAAAATGAGAAATTTTTCCAGAAAATCACATTGTAGGATTTTTAATGAATTTATTTGCAAATTATGGTGGAAAATAAGTATTTGGTCAATAACAAAAGTTTCTCAATACTTTGTTATATACCCTTTGTTGGCAATGACACAGGTCAAACGTTTTCTGTAAGTCTTCACAAGGTTTTCACACACTGTTGCTGGTATTTTGGCCCATTCCTCCATGCAGATCAGTGATGTTTTGGGGCTGTCGCTGGGCAACACAGACTTTCAACTCCCTCCAAAGATTTTCTATGGGGTTGAGATCTGGAGACTGGCTAGGCCACTCCAGGACCTTGAAATGCTTCTTACGAAGCCACTCCTTCGTTGCCCGGGCGGTGTGTTTGGGATCATTGTCATGCTGAAAGCCCCAGCCACGTTTCAT